TGTCTACAGAGATGAGCTATCATGTGCTAGGACTATTGTTTCTAGACGGCATACTTAACTGGTTACAAAATATTATTGCGTTTTCAGTATTATCTATCGTGACTCCTTTAACGTATGCAGTGGCCAGCGCGAGCAAACGCATATTTGTGATAGCGGTGACGTTACTCATACTCGGCAATCCGGTTACGTGGTTGAACATATTTGGCATGACTATGGCTATACTAGGGGTGTTGTGTTACAATAAGGCCAAGTATGATCAAAGAATAGAAAAACAGAAGGAAACGATTCTTCCAAAATATTATGGTCCACTTCAGAATGGTAACAGCAGTTCCTTTATGATAAATGGATTTGCCGGAAGACAACCTCAATCATTCGCAGTCTAGTCTCATTGATAGTTTTATTTCAATAAATTTATGCGAGTTTCCTATAAAAGAGAAGTCTAATCCCTTTTTTCTATTAGTATGGATTAGTTTTACTCACACGGTAAAATACTATTGTGATTTGTATTAAATCGGCCAGATATACAAGAGAAACTCTTGTGACCCACTATTATATCATTAATAATATTATATACATAATAGTTGATGTTCTTTAAGTTACACGCAATACACTCACACACTGAGAAAAAAAGTGTGAAATCAGACAAATATTTTTTTATTAAAATATGTGTTAGATAACTGTTTAGAAAAACGCAGTTCAGGTTCAATTGTCTTGATTTTCACATGTGGTTAAGACCATAGTCCTGAGTAACAAATATACAATATTATAGCCGTCGCTCATTATTTATTAAAAAGTTATAAGCAAAATAAGTTATGTAAAGGTTGAGTTAGGTTAGGATTTTTTGAAGAAAGCGTACAGCTCCCATTCACGCATTCAATGTATTACATGTAAATAAATGTAAATGCATTGTAAAAATGTTCTAAATATTGGGATAAACTTCCGAAAAGCTATCACCTCCGATTTGGCTGATTTTCAGCCTAAATACTTATTTTATCTAGTAAATAATATTCCCAAATGGATTTTTGGCGCAAATGCCCCTCCGCCCCCCAGCCCCTTAAAGGTAAAACTGTTTTTGTTAATTATTTCAGAAAGTATTTATTGTACGGAAAAAGTCAAACAAAAAATGAAGCTCATAAAATGCTCTACAAATAAGGTCCTATACATATTTTACCTAACTCCAATATTTTAGCCGTTATTATCAAAAATCTGGAGGCAGTGTGTTCCGCCTCCCTGCGGGGGGCTCCACCGTCAAAAACTATACACATAGAGTCTGGATTGAATCTCGCTTTGCGTAGAAAGTCGTAAACCCATGTGGAACCTCGCTTCGCGTTGTACAGTGTATGCATGGATGCAGTGGGTGCCGCCTCTCTTACGGGGGCTTTTACAAGTTTTTTGATAATAACGACTAAAATATTGGAATTAGATAAAATATGTATAGGACCTTATTTGTGGAGCTTTTTATGAACTTCATTTTTTGTTTGACAATTTTTTCCGTACAATGAACACTTTTTGAAATAATTAACGAAAACAGTTTTACCTTTGAGGGGAGCTGGGGGCGGAGGGAGCATTTGCGCCAAAAATCTATTTGAGAATATTATTTACTAGATAAAATAAGTATTTAAGCTGAATATCAGCCGAATTGGAGGTGATAGCTTTTTGGAAGTCCATCCAAATATTGAAATAAACAATTACGTATACCTATTATTTTTTGGCATCAAGAATATATGATACAATTTCTTGTTGTATCACTTGCTTTTCACACAACTAATTAATGAAACCTTCTAATTACTGCATGTCAAATGAAGAAATTTCTGTAACAACATGTGAGACTACTTTGCAACAGAAATTGTGTGTCTGACAATACTTTTATAACACAAGCAAGAGGAAAATATTTGCTACATGACTACAGTATATTTTTGACTTTTCTCAGAATTCCTAAACTAAAGCAATACGATGAACTAATTGTGTATCTTTTATTGATGAATAAACTTATTTTGTTTATAACTTTTTAACATACAATGAGCGTCGGCTAAAACTTGTAGAATATTACTCAAGATTATGGTCTTAACAACATGTGTGAAAGTCAAAACGATCGAACCTGACTGCGTTTTTTTAAACATTCACCAAATTGAATACATATTAGTTATATGTATTTTATAAGATTTATAAGATTTATAATTAGTAGAATTAAATAGGTTAACAAAATGATATTGTTTGAATTACGCGATTTGTTGAAATTACTTATATGTTTGACTTAAATATGTAAATATTTGAGCTTAAAAAATGATTATCAATTAAACATATTGAGTCATGTTTTTTTCTCAGTGTATCTTTGACTCGTATAAATGCTGCGGAAAGATGTGATGATTTATATTCTTTGATTTTAACCAGTTCAGTGGTAGACTTTTCCGAAAGATTTGTGCCAAAAGTGGTAAGAGTCAAAAGTTAAAATATCGAAAAACGGTGAAACATGGGTTCAAAGTTTTCGAAAAAACAACTTTTCGGAATGGATGTGGATCCCCCCCACGCCCTGGGAGGCGGGGGGCAGAATAGGGGTGGAAAATGTTAAATGGCACTATGGGTCGAGTAGGGACTCATTTGAAAGGGCATTTTAAGACGAGAACAATGATTTTTTAAAATGTTTACTACAACCTTCCAGTCAAAAGTGGAGGTGGATCAAAAAAGGGGGGTGGACTTCCGAAAAGCTATCACCTCCGATTTGGCTTATATTCAGCCTAAATAGTTATTTTATCTAGTAAATAATATTCCCAAATGGATTTTTGGCGCAAATGTCCCCTCCGCCCCCCAGCCCCTCTCAAAGGTTTAAAGATAAAACTCTTTATTAATTATTTTAGAAAGTATTCATTGTACGGAAAAAGTTGTCAAACAAAAAATGAAGCTCATAAAAAGCTCTACAAATAAGCTCTACAATAATCTTATACATATTTTACCTAACTCCAATATTTTAGTCGTTTTAACAGTCGCAATATTGGATCCACCATTTTAAATTTTGCAATTTTGACATCAGATTTGAATTCAGCAGCCCAAAAAATCTTAGGATATCAAGTTTTATGCAAATCTGTTGAAAATTATTGGAGTTATTTAAAAATGTACATATATGATACATTACCACGTTTGGCACTTTTTTTGTACATATATGATACATTACCACTTAACTGGTTAATACTAAAATCATTATTTCTTAACTATAATTTAATATATTTCTATGCAATATGATTATTACGGTAAGCTCCGTTTAATTTGTTAATTTTAATATTGAACCTGCTGGTAAGGTATGATTTTCAAGTCAAAATTATGATCTATTAGCTAATTGCTGGTCCAATTAGCGTTAGTCAGGTAAGCATGAGACGAATCGAATTTTTGTTTTACTTTTTATTTCAATTTTTAAATGTCTGAAATATTATTTTAACGCTTTAAATATTTCAAACAATCTGTTTCGATTTTACTTAATCTACAACTTTTTATTGAAATGATTAAAATGTTATTAAATTCTATCTCGGTTTGACGAAAATTTTTCTTTTGAATCTGTAAGTAAGAAATCATCCATTTACTGTCTATTTGAAATATAAAGTAGAACCTTAAGGGGTCAGACCGGTGTTGACTTGCCGAAAAAATAGGTAATTTTTAAGCGTGGATTGCCGAAGAAATAAAAAAGCTGTAGACTTGTGGTTTGGTATTTTATTTAAATGCACATTGAAGATATAAAATATGTAAAATAAAAAGAAAAATAATAATTTTAAAACCATTTATTAAAACATAAATTTTTTTTGCACCGATTACTGGTGTCGTTGATTCCGCCATATTGGATTGTCTAAAACAAAAAAAAAATATTATTACTTAAGTGTATTGTATTCCCTAAGCATTGACCGAGGATTTTCACAATATCATTATTTTTTTGCAAAATACTAACAAATTAATTAACAATAATTGTGCCAAAAATCAAACCAAAAACTCAAAAATATTTTTTCAGTCAAATTTAAATAAATTTTGAAAAAGCTTGGTTAATGCTTAGGGAATACATAATACACTTAAGTAATAATATTTTTTTTTGGTTTTAGACAATCCAATATGGCGGAATCAACGACATCAGTGATCGGTGCAAAAAAAAATTATTTTTAAATAATGTTTTAATAAATGGTTTTAAAATTATTATTTTTCTTTTCATTTTACATATTTTATATCTTCAATGTGCACTTAAATAAAATACCAAACCACAAGTCTATAGCTTTTTTATTTCTTCGGTAATCCACGCTTAAAAATTATTTTTTTTTTCGGCAAGTCACACCGGTCTGACTCCTTAATTATAATTTTTAATTAGACATCGAAATTTTTGAGTTTGAAAGAATATTTTTTAAATATTACATTTTTATCAATTAAAAAAATAAAATGTATTATATTCCGAAATTTTTATTTATTTATCACATTTAAGTTACATCAATAACTATTTTTTTAATTTAATCATATTTTACCTAAAAATTTTTTATTCTTATATTATATATTATAAAATTTACTTTAATTTGTAATTAGGAGAAAAAAAACAAAAGAGCCGGAACTGGTTAAGTATGGCCCTCTTCAATGTGATTAATATATAAAATTTATCTCATATTGTCATAATTTAAACGTATCAAAACGTATTGGTGTGTGTTGAATGTAATATCACAGTTAATTATAATATTACATACGCAGTTTTCCTGATATGTGAATCCGCGATGATTATAACAGCTTTGTAGTTATAAAATCAATTCTTCTTTTCATTCTTCTCTTCATTACATACAATTTGTGTCTTCTTTCATATTAAATCATAAACGTCTACCTCCATGCAAAAATCTGATGTTCTTAAAACTATTGTTATTTTGATAAAAATGTTATCTATGATGTAACTTCATTTTGGTAAAATTGTCATTCGTAATATGAAATAAAACCAAAACATCTTTCCGTATGGTCGAAACGTGTAAGTAGTAAATATTACGTTTTGGAATAAAACTCTGAGCAAGGTTAACTGGTTTTGGTTCTTGTAGTTTGTTTTTTCCCTCCAAATTGTTGAATAAATAAACAGTCAACATTACTTTATATTATTTTATTTAATTATTTAATTTCTAATTTTAATTGCTAAGTTAATTTTAGAAATTTTTTAAAACAATATTAAATTTATTATTAGAGTTTTGAATTAAATTTACCATATATTAAGATTATACAAACTTACTTGTAATTCAAATTTTTTAAATTTTGACATGTTTGATTAGAGCACTAAAGATACAGGTATTCTCGCCTGCGCCATTTTCGTTCCATTCCCCCACTCCTTGCCCTCTTAGTCCCTACAAAGTTCGAGCAGCTTAGAACACATAAACATCATAAACTTCTCAGCTCAGCGGCAAAGGGGCGAGAGGGCAAGGAGTGGGGGAATGGAACGAAAATGGCGCAGACGAGAATACTCATGTTTATAGTGCCTTAGTTTGATCAACGTTCCAAAAAAGTTTTAAATACATACAATATGTACATACATAAATTTAGTTACTTTTCGATAGAAATCATTTTTGATAATAAAACGTTTTTATTTTTTAAGAGATAAAACACGACAGGTTTATGTGTTTACAATTTAGACATTGGCATAGGCTATATTTAGTGCTATTCCAATTTTATTTATACTTCCTCAACTACTAGACCGTTGCGCGCGCGCGCAAAGTGAAAAAAAAGTTTTAAATATGTTGTACAAGTGCCGATGTTATACAGAAACGCGTAGATTGTATGTGAGAAATGTACGCGCGTGTATATGAATTGTATGTAGGAGAGGATGTCTTAGCTGAAAAACCCAATCTATAAATTTATTTTTATAAATAAAATACATGTGTACAAAAATATATCCGAAGTGTTATATTCATATCATTCTCTGTTTGTATAAAATTACAATTTAATTTTAGAAATGCAACTGCTGGAACCATGGCACGTCCATATTTATTTTGCATTATCTTTAAAATATTAAATGTTTTAGAAAATATTTAAGATATTTGCTATAATAAATAGATTGAATTAAGTCGTCATCGACAGTTGATTGAAGATCATTGTATCGATTTATAAAGTCTTCAGAATGTTCTGTGGAGCTAAGGATCTTGCAATAGTCAGATCTAGACGCGGTCCGGCCGCTGCGATAAGCGGTACGGCCAAGCAACAGTCGCAGTCTTCCGTGCTGGTTTCGTTGACGCGAAGAATTCTGTCGTAGGGTCGAAGAACACCGTTGCAAGGTCCGCCAGGCCGTAGGCGATTTATGTAAACGCCTCGTTCGTAAAGACCGTCCGATACCGAGAAGCCGAAATCTTCGTACACAGAATCTTTGTGCAGCGACACGTGCACTATCTGCTGGGTCCCACTGTCGAAACCACTGCTGCGTTCTTGTGATCTACGAATTTTCCATAAGAAATCAACATAAAATACCATAAAATGTGAATAATTATTAGCGAGTAAATTAATTTTTATTGGAAATTAACTATTGTAAACAGCAAACATTTTTTAATCAAATAAGACTAATGGCTAGAATGTTAAATATCCTCTATTCAAAACCCGCTTTTTGCAACTTTTTCTTTCTTTTTTCTAACAGCACTTGTTTCTAACAATATACAACCAAATTACTTATTAGATAATGTTTTTTTTTAGTTAAAAAATATTTTATATTATTGAAAATATTTATATATGTTAAACTAATAACTCTAGAAAAAAAATACTAATTTACTATTGTCAATAGGAAAATACAAAATTATTTTACAATTCTGCAACAAAGTTTATTTCTGTACTACATACATTACAATGACACACAATTACAATTATATTAATTATCGGAATCTTTTCCAAAAAAAGAATGCTTGCACACATTTGGATGATATTTATCATAAAAATATTGAAACCCAATCGTAAATCGGTACTTTCAATGTTTTTATGATAAATATCATCCAAAGGTGTGTAAAAATTCTTTTTTCAAAAAAGATTTTGAAAGCGATAATTAATTTAATTGTGATTATGTACCATTGTAATTTTATGTAATACAGAAATAAACTTTGTTGCAGAATTGTAAAATAATTTTTCATTTTTCTATTGTCAATAGCAAATCAGTATTTTTTCTAGAATTATTAATTTAACATATGGAAATATTTTTAATAAATATAAAATAATATTTTTTTAACCAAAAACATTATTGAATAATTTACTTGATTATACACTATTAAAAACAAATGTGGAAAAAAGAAAAAAAAAGTTGCAAAAAGTGGTCTTGGATATAAGACCTCCAATATTCTAGTCCAGAGCTCGGAATTAGTTGTACATTTCGAACCGATTCCCAGGATGACATCTTCTGTTCCCTCACTACCGCCCGGCCTCTGGCGATCGAGCCGCCGATAGCTCTGGCTCAGGAGCGTTTTATATTAGAAATACGCTGGATTGTTTAGATATCTCTCAGGAAATCGTAACATTTTCTTCGCTATATAAATAATGTTTATTTTCATTCATACATAATATATGTATATATTCAATTATTAATAAAAATAAACATTATTTATGTAGCGAAAATGTTACGATTTTCTGAGTGATGCCTAAACAACCCAGCCTATTTTTAATATAAAACGCTCCTGAG